ATCTGTTCTCATGATGGGTTTCTCAAGGAGATTGGTTGGAATATAAGCTTGCAATGTATCATTTCCCTGATCTTCTCTTGCTGATGCCGAATGCTTTGTTTCTCATCATTTGACTATCATTTTGTAACTTCGCTTCGGACAAAACTATCATCTGGTTTAAGCTTGAATTGAAGGTGCTCTGTATTTGCTCATATACATCAAAATAGAGGTTTAATTTCAGATTTTAAACTCAGTTAAGTCAGGCAATCTTCTTTTTAACTAACAACAGATTTGAGTCTCTGTTCTGCATCGGAGGACGTTCAGTTTTAAAGATATAGTTCTGATGGGTTACGAAGAGCACTGCAAAGCTGGTAATGAAGTATAAGGATTCTGATAAAAAGAAAAGGTGCAGCAAAACTCCTGTCTACACACTAATCCGCAAACAGAACAAAACTTAGTTTCAAACTGAAAATAGACAAAAGCCAGAGTTTACTCTTCGTCGTCCTCATCATCGTCATCAGCCACACCACCAGCTGAGTTCAAGGCCTTTACCCGCTCGATTAGACTAGCTTTCCTCTCCTCGTAAGTTAGTTTCTTAGGATTATACCTGACATTGCCAAAAAACAGACAATAAGACTCAACCATAATAAAACAATAATTGCTTGTGCGGGTTTTAGCCGTCCATACCGTTTGTGCTCTTTTGGTGCTTCTTTCTCTGATTTCCTCATTAAGGGATCAGCTCGGATTGCTGCATGTACCTTCTTGTACATCTCTTCCATGTTGTCTGCCTCAAGACCCTTCTTAAGGAAGTCACTAAACTGAGTCTGATACTTCTCTGGCTCATCCTCCATCAACAGCTGCAAGATTTTGGGGTTAGGAAAATGTTCCTCTTCAAAAGATAATTCTTAAGATTATGCAAGAAAATGTGTTTATGTGATTTACCTTCATGTAATCGACAACATGGCCACCGTAAATGTATTTCCTGTGAATCTCAGCGTCGAGTTGCTTGCCTTCCTTGTTGAACCCAGCAAATCTCTTGTCACTGTGTGGAATGTCAAGTCCACCATCCAAAGCACCCTAACAAAACAAACAGATGAGCCACTAGACTTAAATCCATATTTGGCCAAAGAAGACCAACAATATATAAAAGAGACAATTAGTGTACCTTAAGCGCACCAAACACACGGTTTCCAGTTGTTGTCATCACAAGTCCAACATCAAGGAGAGCACGGAAGGGTCTCCTGGTGTCAGTCGGCTCAACAGAGAAGTCTTCTCCTGAAGCCTTGCATGAAGAGAAATTCAGTGCATTAAAGATCTCAACATGAATTAATCAGACATAATACATCAATGGTGATATATACACCCCAAGGAGTCATACCTCAACATTGCCCTCATACTCAGCATCCATCTCAAGCATCTTAAGGACACGTCGGGCCAAAAGGAGACCGGTGCAATAAGCTGGAATAGCAAATAATGAGATTCATAATCGGATAAAACAAAGAGCAAAACACCTCCAGCAGTTGAAAAGGGGTTTAATCATATACCTGCAGCATAGTTTGTAAGTCCCACCTGAAGGCCATATCTAGGGAGCTCATGAGCATAAGCAGAGGCAAGAACAATGTCACCAGCAATGGTAGCAGAAACAACTTGGGCGGTTATGTCCTTGTTAGTCTAAGAATAGCAAAAAAAGAAGACAATGAGATCAAACTGAGTTCAAGTAGAAAAACAAACACCAAAGCAGAAATTATATACTTACAAATCTCACGACATAACGATACTTAGGTGTGTTATACTTGTTCTTATCCTGATTGATGAGACGAATCCTTGCACGGTAATCAGTCTTGCCCTCTAAAGAAAATCACAAATTTGAAAAGTGTAATCTGTGTTTTGCACAAAGGGCATTCACAGAAACAAAGAAGAGAGGAAGACGATTAACATACCTCGTCTTCTCCTGAACTTGACTTGATACCTCTTGAAGTAAGCCTGTTTCTTCTGGGGTTTCACAAACGCCTTCAATATACAAAAACACAAACAAAAATGAGAGCCATTTCTTGTTGAAAGCTCATAAATGTTCATCATTTCAATCGCTAACAAATAATATCCTTATAGAATCACTGGAAACAGACTGAGCTACAAACAATGAATCTAAATCACATTACAGAGCTACTACCTAAAAGAGTTCGATTGTAGATCTATGATTCCAGATCATCTACACATGATCGAGTAATGCTGAAACTAATAATCAATCGAATAAAGAACGAAAGGAGGAAGAGTTAGAACAAAGTGGGAGAGAGAGAGAAGGAATCATCACCATGGCTTGAGGATCAGTGAGGTCGCCGAACAAAGTTTTGGCGAGAAGGGAGGGAAGAAGAAGAGAAAAGCGAACCTAAAATACTAAAACCCTAGTGACCCTCTTGTGATGTAAATCAACGGCCACGATACGTTTTAGGGTAAGATGATCCCGTTTACTCAAGGGAATTGCTAAAGTTGCGGTACGGTGACACAACATCTCAGAAGCCTCAATTATT